TTCAAAAGATAATGATGGTGCGAAATATGTCTGGGTTTTTAAAGAAAATGCTTTGTCACAGAATAATAGTCTGTTAAAGGTGCCAAGTATGAAATAATTTGGGGACAAAAAACAAACCTGCATAGAAATCGGAATAATAGGTCTTTTGATTATCGGAGACGCATTTCAATGGACTTGATTACGGACAATGCATGACGTAAATTTCACCAGCAAATTCCGCTGTGTGCTCTTGCAATCGCGGACTTAGTCATTTTTACAAGGTTTGCCATTTTTGATGTCACGTGATAATTATGTAAACAATGACTGTCCAGTTTTCTGCGAACTTGCAACTCTATACTTAGTCTTTTGATATATATAACCTAAATTACTGTTCTGAACGAGACAACAGACAGAGAATGTTTTATTTAAAAACGTCACAAAACCTTCTCACTACCTTAACAACCTTGTAGAGGTGGAAATTAATTAAACAACAGGTATTTACTCACAAATATAATGGTCAATATTTGTCCATACATTCATTCTGTCAATTTAAGAACTTGTAATGGTGTAAAATTATTAAATGAGAGTTGTCTACACCAAAATAAGTCTCAAATGTTTGTCCACACATTTATTCTCTCAATTTAACAATTTGTAATTTGTGGAAGTAAATTAAATGCGACTTTTCTACACCAAAATAAGTCTAAAATATTTGTCCACACATTTAGTCTCTCAATTTAACAACTTGTAATTGTGGGAATTAATCAAACGCGAGTTGTTTACACCAAAATAAGTCTAAAATATTTGTCCGCACACTTATTCTCTCAATTTAACAACTTGTAATGGTGTAAAATAATTAAACGAGAGCTGTCTACGCCAAAATAAGTCTAAAATATTTGTTCACACATTTATTCTCTCTATTTAACAACTTGTAATTGTGGGAATTAATCAAACGTGAGTTGTTTACACCAAACTAAGTATTAAATATTTGTTGAGACATTTATTCTCTCAATTTAACAACTTGTAATGGTGTAAAATAATTAAACGAGAGTTGTCTACACCAAAATTAATCTCAAATATTTGTCCACACATTTATTGTCACAATTTAACCACTTGTTAATAGTGGAAATTACTTAAACGCGACTTGTTTAATCAGTTGACATCAATGCAACTTACCCGCAGACAGTGCACAACAGAGTATCATTATTGATCAATTATATTGTTATATTATACAGTCAATCAATTGTGGTCTTGGTTCAGTTGTCTACATAGTGATCAGGAGAACCTTGGTTCAATTCCCATGCCTGCCAGTCTTTTTTCGCAAACACTAATTTGCAATAAAGCTAAATATGAAAACAAATCATTCATTTGCATGACTACCCATGTGGTTCAGTAGATATGTACAATGTAGGCAATGTGAGAGATCGCTGGTTCGAATCCAGTATGGTTAGTACGATTTTTGAATGCTAGTGAAAACATTGATCCTATAAGTAGGACTTAAATCCTATCATTTGTGTGAGGACACTCGTGGTACAGTGGACAAGACAGTGTGCTGGGAACTCAAAGATTGCAAGTTCGAATCACGGACAGGACACTCCTACAAGA